GAAAGTATCTTTAACTAATTAAGGATACACGGAGTAAAACTACGATAAAAATACAGAGCGAATATCAACAACCTAATGTTAGTATTCTTGAAATTGAAAATGTTAACTTATTTCATTAATAATCCATTGTTGAGGAAATTAACATCCTTCAATCATCAGTCAAGGTCTTGTCACTGTATGATTTGCTGCCAAAAAGAGAGCGTGACTTAAAAAAATATGATTTTTCTGGTACATGTAAATAAACCATAGCAACATTAAAGTAAACCCTTAATTTCCCGCCGGTCATATGGTACAATTTAAAGTTATTCAAACCTGCATTCCTTAAACGTCATGTACAGATAGTAATTGAACTTTTTATAAAGTAATACATACATAGCCCCCTTTCTAAGAGGAAATTCTTCAAAATCATATGTCAGTTTTGAATATTTTTAATATTCCCAACAACCAACATGAATTTGAATTACCATATCTATATTGGATTCGGAAACTTCATAAAAATCCTTACAAACAAAAATACATAGCAGGTTCCAGAAAATGTTCTACCAAGCCTCTTCTTTACTCCTCACTAAAATATTAACAGTGGTGAAGGAGAAAATTCAGGAACACTCTGCAACAATATATTCGAGAAGTGGTGTAAATCAGATGCGATACTTAAATATTCCCAGGAACTTTTGGAAAACTTGAAATCACAATATTTTACCAAAATCAACAACAAAAAAACTTACGACTTTTCAACTTTATATACGACCATTCACCACAATAAATTAAAGTCCAGAGTTTTTGATATCATCGACAGCTGCTTTTTCAATAAAAATGGAACTCGTAAATATACTTACCTTGTCATTGGTCATTTCAAAAATTATTTAAAAAAAAAACATTCTGATTGTACAAAAAAATACTCTGAATTTGATCTTAAAAATTTGCTTCAGTTTCTGATTGACAATATCTATGTGGTTTTTGGAGACAAGTCTTCCAACAATCTATTGGAATTCCCATCGGTACCAATTGCGCCCGGTATTAGCAGACCTATTTTTGTATTCATATGAAGCAGAATTTGTTCAAAATCTTATACGTGAAAAGAAGAAAACACTTACTGTGGCCTTCAACTCGACATTTAGATATATCGACGACGTATTGTCAATTAATGGATATTTCCATTCTTATGTCGATACGATATATCCTGTTGAGCTTAAGATAAAAGATACCACAAAGTTTGACACATATCCAATATTTGGATATTTTACTTGAAAAGATGTTAATGGTAATCTAAGAACCAGGCTTTATGATAAACGTGATGACTTATACTCATAGTTCCCTTTCTAAGGAAGAAATTTTTCAAAATCATTTGTCAGTTTTGAATATTTTCAAAATGCCAAACAACCAAAATGAATTTGAATTACCATATTTATATTGGATTCCATAACTTCATAAAAAAATCCTTACAAACAAAGATACATAGCGGGTTCCAGTAAATGTTCAACCAAGCCTCTTTCTTTACTCCTCACTAAGATATTAACAGTAGTGAAGGAGAAACTTTAAGAGTACTGTTCAACAATATATTCGAGAAGTGGTGTAAATCAGATGTGGATACTTAAAAATTCCAAGGAACTTTTGGAAAATTTGAAATCACAAGATTTTACCAAAATCAACAGCTCAAAAACTTACGACTTTTCAACCTTATACACAACCATTCCCCACGATAAATTAAAATACAGGCTTTTTGATATCATTGACAGCTGCTTTTTCAATAAAAATGGAACTCGTAAATTACTTACCTTGTCATTGGTCATTTGCAAAATTATTTTGTTAAAAAACATTCTGATTGTACACACAAGTACTCTGCAGAAGTTGACATTGAAAAGATGCTTAAGTTTCTGATTGACAATGGGTACCAATTGCGTCCCGTTATTAGCAGTCTTATTCTTGTATTCATATGAAGCAGAACTTGTCCAAAATCTTGTACGTGAAAAGAAGAAAACACTTGTTGTGGCCTTCAACTAGACATTTAGATATATCGACGACGTATTATCAATTAACAAGTTATTTCCATTCCTTTGTCGAGATAATTTATCCCAGTGAGCCTCAAATAAAAGATACCACTCTGAAACATCTGTTTCATATTTGGATATTTTACTAGAAAAAGACGCCAATGGTAATCTAACAACCAAGCTTTATGATAAATGTGATGACTTTAACTTTTCAATCGTCAACTTCCCTTACTTATGAAGGAATATACCTTCATCACCTGCATACGGATTTTATATCTCTCAGTTGATTTGATACGCAAGAGCATGCTGACTGACGTTTTTTCGTACTAATTGTTAGGCTATAATTTACCCACTGAATTGTCGACGGATTTTTCGGTTAATTCCCAATCATGACAAAGAGCACACGGCGGGTGTGACCAGTCGGCAGAGGATGCTCACTCCTCCCACTTCTGATGTTTTTGAGGTCCGTGTTTGCTCTGCTCCAAAATTTGTATTGTTTAAAGGACGTTTGAACTTGAATACTCTTCATTTTCTCCATACATTTCATGCAGAACAATCGTAACCCTTTTAAATTATGATATTTTCAGTTTCTTTAATGTAATCTTTAAATGCATTCTCCTTCTTGTAGAGTGTGACATTAAACATTATGGATTTGATTGCTCCATGGAATGTGGTGCGTCATGTCAGTCAGGATGCGATAGGGATACTGGAAATTGTAAAGGAACTTGTGTTATTGGCACATTTGGAAACCTCTGCAATGAAACGTGCAACCAAGACTGTATAAATGGTTGCCACAGAGACAGTGGCAATTGTGAAAATTGTGTTGAAGGAAAATTCGGAGACATTTGTGAGAACAAATGTGGAGAAGGGTGCAATAACAACTGTGCTAAAGATGATGGGAGTTGTACGTGCAAAGTAGGATGGCAAGGGACCTTTTGTGACGGTAAATCTATATATATATATATATATATATATATATATATATATATATATATATATATATATATATATATATATATATATATATATATAGGGTTCTCCATCATTTTTACTGTGTTGCAGACTTAACGTGAACCACTATAATGTTTGCGGTATTTTCGCGATCAAATTCGCAACCGAACCACTATTCATCATAATTACAAAAGCATACACAGACAACTTTTTGGAATCACCAATTCGTTATACAAATGGTATGGTCGTACATATTGATAAAAAAATAATTTAATGGAATGGATATTAAAAACAATTAGATTTTTTCCATATAATAAATAATAAGATACATACAATGTACTACAAGAAAAACCAAGTGTAACCCCCACCCCCCACACCCCCCACCCCCACACACGCACAACTTAAAAAAATATGTACGATATAAAAAAAAAACTTCTATACTTGTATCACTTTCTACAAGTTGATGTTTTTTCACATATTACACATGCTCTGAAGAGCAGAGGAAATTCTAGTCGATACAATCGATCTACTTCCCCATTTAAAAAATAAATTTGCCGTAATTTTTGTCAGTTGATCGAATTTACGAATTAAAAAAGAAACTTTAGAAAAGTAAAATACCTAGGGGGTGTCTATAAATCCTTCAACAATACATTTACATCAATGTTATCATTACGGTGATGACTCACAGTTTGACTCACAGTGCCAACAAAAATTTAGAGACGTGGTTCTGGAGTATAAAGATATATATTTATAATAATTTTTTAATTTTTAAATAATATTAAAATATACGGTGACATGGAAGTGTGAAAACAAATTATTTGTCTTTGTTCCTTCATGCGTAAAGTCCAGCGAGGGTCTATAAGATAATTGATTATGAAAGGTGAAGCAAGACAAAGTGCCGTAATTAAGAGATAATTAAGTGCTCTGCCTTGAAAATTGAAAGACGATTTGTATGACTAAAGTTTTAAAATTTGAATCGTTACTGTGTCGGGAAAAGTTTTACTGTGTCGGGGCCGACACAGTAAAACAGCTCATGGAGAACCCTGATATATATATATATATATATATATATATATATATATATATATATATATATATATATATATATATATATATTTGCTTTTCTTTTTATTTATTTATGGCACCTCATTACACCTTTGATGTGTTAGAGGTCTGCTCCTATTTTGTAGTGTTTAATGGACTTTTGAGTTCGAATGCTGTTCGTTAACTCCACATTTCATTAATAATGGTATGATTGAAAGCGTTGCAGACAATTATTCCCTCTCATAAGATTCTGAAATTTGCAAACTCTTAACTGGGGAGTAAATTTATACAATAACATTATTTTTCTCATTTTTTTTTTTATAAAGAATGTAACCCATACCACTACGGTGCTTTATGTGAACACAAGTGTAGCTTTAGCTGTCTTAATGGAACTTGTTTTTCAAACAATGGATCATGTATTGACGGATGCAATGGCGATTATACTGATGAAAAATGTACAGGTATGACAGATATGAAAGTCTTAAGGTACAAGATTTATTTACAGTTCATATTTGATGGCCTCAGGGCAAAACCTTGAATTTCTATAATTTGGGGCATGTCTTAGCTTTCTATTTGATTTACAATTCTAAAAAAAAGGAATTTAAAAAAAAGGACTTGTCAGTTGAGTTATTATAAGTCCATCTATGGATCAAATGAGGCATCCTAAATTATCTAACACAAAAAAATGTTGAACAGATCACAGTGTGCTAAGGTATAACAGATATTAATTTTATAAAACATTGCTATACCTGTGAAGGTGATTCTTTCTTCATAGTTCTCGCCAGAAGTATTCAAGGAACATTTCCAACAACACCTGTCGCTGCTGGGGTAGGAGTTGCTGTGATTTTGTTGATCATAATTATTATCTCGGCAGTTTTATTCATAAGGTAAGTCAAACGTTATAAGCTTGCAAATGAAATGAGTGATAATGAGTAAAATGGAAATGCTAATTAATACTACAGCTTCTTTCTGGATCTTGTTTTCTTTTGCCTAAAGTATTTCATTTTCTTTCCATAGACTAAGAAGAAGAAAGCATTCGAATTCGCAATCAAGTTCAGTTCTTTTTCACAAGGAATATGCCATTTCTTCTGAAAAATGTAATATCATCATTAGAGTTTAAACAAAATTTGTGATTTTTTTTCTTCCATTTACTGAATGTAATCTGCTCTTTTTACAAGTGAAGAATAATAACCTTTAGACCAGCATTTTTGATACTATATAATGTTAAACCAAAAACTGAATCTGTAAAAATTCTCACGTCAAAACAGTTTGGAACCTCGTACATGTATTTCAGAAAATATAAAAAAAAAATATCTATTTCATTTTCTTGATTAAAGAATTATGAATTGGGTTAACTTTTTCAGTTGCTGAGAATAAGTTATACACAAACATAGCAAATGTTTCTGTTCCGATTGAGGACCCCGAAGAAGAACCACAGATAGAAAACCCCGAGGAGGCCGTTTATTATAACGACCTGTCTGTGGCTAAGGATATCGCTGTGTCGGACCTACTGAATATAATCACACAGAGGGAAGCCAAGGAAAAGGAAGGATTTCAAAAGGAATTCAAGGTAAATACTTGTATATATAAGTGAATTGCTGATTTTCATGTATAATTCGTGCAATTTTATCATTTTAAGCCTTTCACCTCTGCTCATTTATTTTTTTTTTTTTTTTATTTTTTTCCTTCTCAAATTCGTACAGTACTGTGTGTACTACGTTTTCTATTAAAACAGTTAAGTATTGTTTAGCAGAAATAAAGTTGAAAATTTGATGTTTCCAATGTAACATTTTAGCACGTTTTCATAACAAAGCGTTTGCAAAGCCTATTTTGCATAATCATTTGATCACCGAGCAGTATCTCTATTTCAGTCTCTTCCTTATGGAGAAAGATTTGCCTGTGAAACAGCCAAAACAGCAGAAAACATCCCTAAAAATAGATTTAAAACCACGTTTCCATGTAAATATTGTCATTTCTTAACCATTTGGTTAAACTAGAACGTATATTAACAATCCTAGAACTTAAGTCTCATTGAGAATTTGACAGACTTGATTAATGATTTGTAAAGCCATTGTTAAAAATAAGATTCTTATATAACTGTTTGTAAAATATTGATTTTAAAAGAATACCTAATTTAATTCTTTGATACAATGCAATATCATAATGTTAATTTATAGTATACACTCTGAAGAATGTTTTTGATTGTAGTGTTTTAAACAATAAAGATCGAGATTTATGGGTTTTTTTAGATGATCATTCCCGCGTCATTTTAGAAATGAAGGGTTTTACTTCCGATTACATCAATGCAAATTATATTGAGGTAATAAACATAGATTTATAACACTAATTAAAATCTGTACTATGATATTATTTACATGATGATATTCAAGGTGCTCTTACATTTTACGTTTTAGAATATAGAAGGAAAACGGGAATTCATTGCTTGTCAAGGTAAGGTAATCACATTAAATATTTAAGTCCATTTAAAAATAATTCCTCGATTTATTTTTAAACACTGATAATAAATTATTTCGGAATCTATTACCATAGAATGCTTCTCTAACTAAATGCTAACTAAAACAACACATTTTTAGGCCCACGTGAAAACACTATAGTTGACCACTGGAGAATGATATGGCAGGAACATGTAGATTACATTGTAATGCTGACCAACCTCATTGAGGGACCAAAGGTTTGAAAACCATGTGTTGTATATTTATGTACATAAAGGTTCTCAGTGCAATTATTAAGATATTCAGTGATATTTTTGTAGATCATTTGAGCCACAGATTCAAGAAAGCTTTTCTTATCATAGCATAGTGGGAATGTCTAGCTTTTCTACTTTCCGTTTATCTGTTTGTAAACATCACATTTTCGATTTCTTTTCCTGAACCTTTAAATAGATTTCCATCAAACGTGACAGAAACATCCCTGGGAAGTGGTGATTCATTCTGTGCATTCTGTGCTGCACCTATAATTAATTTAAAATTAATTTATCATTCCATGGTTGTTTTTCTCAAGAACTTCTGAACAATTGAAAACAAATTCTAAGTGAAAGTAACCAAATAAGTTTAGATTTTATTTTATTTTATTCATTGTCGACGAAGTTACTGTGAAGGTTGAAGCAATAATAGGGGATGGATTAACGTTTGATAAAGGAATTAGAGGCATTGACAACATCTATGTAGTCTTTGAAGACCAGGTCTTGGAACAGTCCGCTTGAATTTCTTTGAGCATTTAATTTGCTCTTTTCTTTGGAGTTTATGTCTCCCAATTTAATTGATACCAAAAAGCATATTCTGAGTATGCTCAATCTCTAAACCGATATAGGCTACTGGCAAAAAAGTTGACGTTACAGAGATTTCAACAATCTTGTTTCGTTTCAGCATTTCGTCAATTCTGTTTTTGGAATGGAAATAGAAATTTAAAATTGTTAACAAAACAGCAATGCAATTTTTTCCAGGCCCCTTTAACAGTATCTTATTATCTTGCTATACAAGGCCAACATGACCCATTTAAGTGTTGCGCAAAATTGTATATATTTTGAATCATTACAGCAACCATAATTTTAAAAGATATATAAATCATCAATGCAAACTATAAAATTCCAATGGTATTTCTGTAAAAAGTTCCAACCATTACAATTACTGTATAATTTGAATACTGATTTGTAACACTTTTTAGGTGAAATGTCACCAATACTGGCCAGATGAAGGAAAGGAACTTGATATCAATCCATTTTCTGTAAACTTGGTAGAAGAAAAAGTCTATGCTTATTTCGTCGAAAGAAAGATGTATGTGCGGAAAAAGAGGGTAACTAGTGTATAAAAAATATGATACATTAAAAGAGGGAAAATGTAATCATTACATTAGGTTCACAAAAAAAATTATAAAGAAGGTAATAACTCCAGTATACATGTATTTTTATTGGAATGATTATGGTTTTCATTAGGTCACTGGGTCAAGATCTGTCGTGCAATATCACTACACCCGATGGCCAGACCACGGGACACCGAACCCTCTGAACTTAGTTGTCTTCCACAGCCATTTTAGACACAAAATGAAGCATTCCCAAAATCCAATTATTGTCCATTGCAGGTAATCATGGAAGGATACACCAAATAAATGAGGGGATTATTTAAGAAATAAGATATCATTTTTAGAGTTTCATTGGTATATGACATAAAGTTAGTCACGCGATCAAACCCTATAAGGCCCGAAGGGTAATCAGACTTTCCATACGCAAGAAAGTCTGATCACGCGACCAATTTCATGTCATTGAAAACTGAATGTCAATTAAATTAGTATTGTCATATTAGGAAAAGCATTGGAAAATGTAAATATAACTAATACAACAATAACATCGCTATCTCAAAGAAAACAAAAATGTCTTTGGCGCATTTTTAAACTCAAAAAATACATAACAGGAAAAATTAAATTTAATTTATTCTCGTAAAGTGAATATTTTTTTTTATTATTGGCAAGTTAATTATTTCTTATAAGATTAGAATTTTTAGAAGATTCTAGCTGTCCCTTCTTTTCTAATAAAAAGAAGAAAAAGAAATTAGACAATACAAAGCATCATGATTTTTAATCAAAAATTATAAAAAGTCATATAAATAAACAAGGGAAAGAGTTTTTTAATAAAAATGTCTGTTCATAATAATTATGTACTAAGAGAAGCTACTCTGATTTGACATTTCTTGAAATAGTGATTGCGTAGATCGTTAGAAAACTTAAAACTTTAGTTTCTTTTCTCTTTTAAAAATTGTTTCAGTGCTGGAATTGGACGAACGGGGACATTCATTGCCCTTGACGTATTGTCCAGGTATGGCAAGGACAACGGCAAGGTCAATGTAATAGAATATGTCAAGGCCATGCGTAAAGACAGAATGACTATGATACAAAATGTGGTATGTTAGATATATAAAATAAAACATATATTTAAATTTTCTTTCTTTGCTGCTATATATTGAATGAAGAGAGCAAAAGGGAGAGAGATATAAACAAAAGAGAGAGAGAGAGAGAGAGAGAGAGAGAGAGAGAGAGAGAGAGAGAGAGATCTACTGTTAATTATTGACAAACAGGAAGACTACTATTTAGGCTAAGATATATTATTCAGTGTAAACTTTAAATATACTTAGAAAAATTAAAAAGAAATATAGATTAATGAATCATCATTTTAGGACCAGTACGTGTTTCTGTACCATGCTTTGTACGAGTTTTTCAGAAGAAAAGCGCAATGTAGGAAGAAAGATGAATTTCTCGGTCTTTCAAGAGATTTAGACAAAATAGATACACAGAAACAACTAACCAGCGAATTCAACGTGAGAATGCACATGGTTTCTTAGAGATATTTATACAGAATTCAGACTTGTATTGAAAAGTTTTGATCTTTGAAACTTGTATTACAGGTTAAAATCAGCAAATAAGAAACATATGATGTAAACACCAGGGGCTCGTTTCTCAAAAAGTCGTAGATTTGGGCCTATGTTAGTCCAACTAAGTAAGTTACGCCAAAATTTAGACGGGCCTAAATCGCGTTTCAGAAAGCGGCGTAAGACTAGGCCTAAGACTAAGACCTCTCCTCTAAGTACTAAGCATGCGCAGATCGTATTTTATTTGGTTTAGAGACGACAATTACATGTGGCGGATCAAATTAATATCAAACTAAAATTTAAATACGGAAGTAAGGCACGGAAAGCATTAACGCGCGTGCATGTTTTCTCTCTTCACCATCTTTCAAAGAGATATATTGCGCAAACCTATCTGTAGCATTAAAATTAAATAACTATTTTTTTTAAGCTCAGATAAATTAAAAAAAATCTATTTATATAGATACAAATTACGATATACAATCGTACATTAAAACCCAGACGATGTACATAGCATACATACTTGCGAAAAATTGGAATACATTAAACATGAAGAATTTTACTGAAGTGATTAATGACGAAAATAAGCCATATTGTCTTTTCACTTATGTTTAAGAGGGCTGGGTGGTCGTGGCCATTTTAGACTACATTGATCTCCTTTATAAGAAGAGCTCCATATAAAGATATACAAAAATGATCAAAGTTTAAAACTAAAATGTATGAATTTTTTCTTTGCCAAATGATAGTTGACAGCTTACGATATCATATCTAAAAAAATAAGTTATATCTGATGGTTAATTTGTTGACTCCCCAGCCTCCTTAACACTAAAATAAATACATCATAGGTAGTAACAACTGTTTCAAAAGTGGTGGACCCCTCCCCCCCCCCCCAAAAAAAAAAATATGACAAGCCAAAAAACCCCTAAACTACCAAACAGTGGGGGGGGGGGGGGGGGCAACTTCCCAAATTAATGTGACCATAGAAAAAGAAACTTCATTAACTGTCCAAGTCAAAAACCTAATTAACTGTCCAAGTCACGGAATTTGTCAGTGTTCAACCTTACAGCGACAAAAAGTGTGTGTGGGGGGGGGGGGGGGAGCAAGGCAAGCAGCATCTGAAGGAAAATTTAATATAGCAAATTACTACACTCAGAAAAAGTGGAGGACCGGGGCCCCCTGGCCCCACCGTGTTTTATGGACCTGTGGAAAATCTAACAATTATGAAATCATATATTATTAAAATGTGGATAAGAGATTTTTGAAAATTTATCAGTTGTATTGAATTTATTATTTCATAACAGATAATCAATTCTAACTGAATTAGATTTCTTGGCATTCAAGCTGATACATGTATTATAATACATGTATTAAACTTCGGACATACATCATAACATTGATATCGATATGATAATTTACACAGTCCATGTAAAAATACGCATATACGTACATTATTTCCATTAGCACACGCATTCTCGATAAAGGTTTGCCAAAGCTTAATTAATTTTTAATCAATTTCTTGTAATCCATATTACAGGCAAGCAATTTAGTATTTTCATAAATTTCTGAAATATTTTCATTTAATATATTTCCAGTCGGGATCAGTTTTATTTAGATCGGGAAAGGTACAAATTTTAACATCCCCATCTTTTTCGTTTAAATCTAGTAATTCCGTTTCAATTTCTATTAAAAATATGATCATATAATATTTCTTTTATAGATGTAGAATGTTTCTTGAAGATTTTATCTAGATTTTAGGTTATTAAAAAGTAATGATTTTCATATTCATAAATATTTATCGATAAGCAAAATTTCTTCTTCTTGATATGTTTAATGAGTATAATGCATTAAATGACAGTAAAATTGAAACTCTGTTTCTCATTTACAATTAAAAAAAACATTTTAAACATGTTATTGACCACTTTCTTTTCAAATGCATGTAATATAAAGTGTTTATCTGTTCATAAATCGATCAAAAGACATGCAATCTCAAACAAAATTCATCTGAGAGAAGTACGATATATTGTAAATTAATTAAAAACAAGTACCTATTTTTTTTTTTTTTTTTTTTTTATGATAGACCCATCTGCACATCTTATACGCCATGACAGTTACTCCTTTGAAATAGGCAAAAACAGTATAATGGACAACATAATTTATTATTGGAATATTTTACAAATTCATCACAATTTTCTGTGTCATAAATTCTATATTTATTCAAAGGGGAAATTAAGGTAAACAGTGCATTAACTTAATTGATGGCATAATTACCGAATATTTTTTATTATTGAAAATATATTACATGTGTAAATGAATATTGTTTGAGGATTTTTTTTTCAAAAACATTATCCATTTCAAAAATAACAAATTATCAGGACCCAGTGTGTGGGGGAGATGGGGAAGGGGGTAGGCAACTGATTCAGCAAAGTTTGACAGTACAAGAAAACAAATACCTAAAGTGTAAGTCAGCCTAAATTACAACTTAATTTTCAACAGAAAAACCATTACTGGAAAAAGCGGGAGGGTTGCAGCCCCCTCCCCCATACAACACGTGCCTGCTTTTTTTTTTAACTTCTTAAACTTAATATCTTACCCAGTTTCACAATTCAAAATCTTCCTTACAAATTTCTAGCTCATCAAACCTTTTCACAGAAAAAAGTCTGCATCCTCGCTGTATTTTTACTACCTTTCTATTTACCTACATAATAATTGTATATTTCACGATTTTTCGCATATCATATATGTACTTAAATATTGTATTATATCGTATACGTAGAAAATAATTATTCTTTTATCTCTTTATGATCAAAACACTTGCCACTTTTTTCAAGTTGTGTACAGACTAAGAACTTACGCCTACTCATGAGCAGGCCTAGATTTAAGCTTAACTTTAGTCTCGACTAAGTCTGCGCCTTTTTGTGAAACGCTACTTAGTCCGATTTTGGGGTTTAGTCACTGACTTAGTCCGGACTAAGCTTACGCCTGGTCGTAGGCCTTTTTGAGAAACGAGCCCCAGGGGCCTGTTTTAAAAAAGAACTTGAGACTAAGATAACCAACTTTGGGTGATCGTAAAATATTTCAAAATTAATGATTCTATTAAAAATTATCTGCATGTAAATATATCTTTCAAAACTCGTTTAAAAAAACATTTTCATATCAATGTAAATAAGCTTTAGTCTGCAGAATGAGATTTTTTATCTTAATCCTAAGTCCTTTTTAGTAAAACAGGGCCCTGACATTTAAAAGTTTCTTTCGAAAAATCAAAACCTTGTATAAACAAATAATCATATATTCATATATATATATATATATATATATATATATATATATATATATATATATATATATATATATATATATATATATATATATATATAATACTTTTAGGAATTAATAAGTTTAAAGCCAAGGTATGATGCCAAAGATTTCAAGAGTGGAAAGAAGTTTTCGAAACTGAACTTGACCAAATCAATTTTACCAGGTATACAAGTACCGAACTTATCTTCTTGTTTATTTTAAGTAAAGAATGTGGACTTGCATTTTCAATTCAAGAATGATTTTTGTAGTATTATATATAACAACACAGTATATTAATTTTTGTTGACAATGGGATAAAGAAAATCTTTCGCATATTTTCAAGTCGGTTGATTTTCTCTAATCCACTCTCATAAATCTTGTATTTGCAGTTGAGCAATACCTGGTCTATTTGACCTCTCATGTTCCTGGCAGAGAATCTTACTACAATGCAGTTCATGTATCGGTATGTATAGATGTGTGGTTCGTAAGATTTATATTATCCACATTCTAAAAATTTAAAATCAACGAACATCTCTCGTTCATTTACTGTGTTACTTGATTGAGGAGCAATGTTCAATACCTTAGATTTGTACTTTACATCTTCTGTTCTCTACATTTCTTTACATATAGTCGTTCACCCGAGCTGAGGAATTTATATCTGCACAACTTCCAGTGTCCGGTGCGGCCATAGATCTTGTTCGTCTGCTTGTAGATCATGAGTCAGCATTCCTAATTTCACTAAACCCTCTATCAGAGGTTAAAGAGGTAGAGATAAATCATTCTTTAAACTCATTAAGCACAATGCATACATGTTTAATCCTATTCTCTTGATTGCTGAATTCCCTTTAATTTGTAGATTTTATTTATACATACTGTACATGCATATATGTCATCTTGTTCCAGCTACACAATTGGGTTGATGAAAAGAATGGCAATATTAGACTGAGTCCTTATACAATCATTAGAGATACACAGACAACACTGTCCAAGGAGATCAGAAAGACAAGCATAAAAATAACTAAAAAAGAGGTAAGATAATACTTTTCCAATATGTTCAATATAATATATTTGAATGTATAATGAAAGTTTTCCCATTAAGGATGAGATATAAATTTGCCATTTAGTTATATGAAAGGTTGTTGGAAATTTACTGAAAGGTGACTGAATGGCAGACCATTGACATTAGGTAACCTTTCCAGACCTTTCAACATTTTTTTTTTCTGAATGCTGTAGATTCATTCAATGTCACTTTCTTTAATTGAAGTAAAAAGTAATTTTTTTATTAGCATTGACATTTTTTTGAAACTATCTATTTTATCTATATGCATTTTGATTGAATGATTATTTGCTCTTTAACAAAGTAATATTTTGTTAAACTATATTTGCTTGTTTTTTTTCCAAAGGAGAACAAGGAAGCCAATGAAGTGCAGATATTTGAATGTCTAAATTGGAGTTCCAATGATGTTCTTCCCACCGAAACTTCTACATTGACAAACCTCATAAAACAGTTCAGCCTTGATCGCAAGTCTCATCCCAACGGACATATTACTGTTATATCGAAGTACGTACTATATCCTCATATCAAACCTTTTTCTTACCATTTATATAAATGTGTGTTAAAATTCTTTAATGGTTTTTGTCCTATTATAGTTGACACTTGAAGGACAAATGTTGCCGTATGCCGAAAAGGCCAAGAGAATTCTATTTTACCCTCTATATTGATAAGGAAATATAGTGAGAGATTCAAATATCATCAAAGAATTGTGTTTTGTAATTAATTGATTTATAATTGTGTTTGTCCCCATTTTCTTCCCTGTAACTGATATAACTAAGATGCAAAGATTTACACATAAAAGTGGAACAGCGAAACTCTTTATTAGGTTATGTTTTGAAAAAAAAAAGTGTGATTGTCATCTCCCGATTCAAAATAAAATACATCTGTTTGTAGGTAAGACATTTTTTGATAATTATTTTAGCATCAATACTTAACTTTAAAAATTTATTGAGAATGGAGGTGTTCATGAAATAAAGTGGATTTTAATGGGAAATAGACAGTCAAGGGATTAAAAAAAATAGAATAATTTCCAGGAGGTTAAAAAGTTTTGAGTCGGGTATTTTTAGTCAGTATTACATGTATATCAGCATTGGGGTATACCCTAACCATCTGTTAGGGCAGATTGTTTTCTGGCTACTGATTATTCAATGGATGACATGCGTCTTAATCTTACTTTGTTTTTTTTTTTTCATTTAATTGCCTCAAGTGTTTGTTTGTTTTACTTTAAATTGTGTTCCTGTCGTTGCAAAAGCCTGCAAAGTCCATGTTTATATTTATACCCCCGCTCAGAAGGAGATGGGGTATACTGTTATGCCGTGTCTGTCTGTCCTTCTGTCCGTCTATGTGTCTGTCCGTAACAAATTTTCTTGTCAGTTTTCTCAGCAACTACTCATCGCAGATGCTTGAAATTTTAGCAGTCTTTGATTAGGATTGCAATATAATGAGATTGATTTCTGTACAAATCCGATATCAGCTTCCTGTTTATATGTGCGTCTGTCCGTTAAAAATTTCCGTTGCAGTTTTCTCAGCAGCTACGCTTTGCAGATATTTGAAATTTTAGCACACGGCTATATGGTGGGATTTTTTCTATACGAATCCGATGTCAACTTCCTGTCGCGGTATTCTCAGCAACCACAGTACTCATCACAGATGCTTGAAATTTTAGCGCACTCTTTGTTTAAGCATGACTTATGGTGAGATTTAGAGAGCGTATATTCACATCAGAGCGGGGGTATTACTAGTGAGCATTGGCTCACAGACTTCTTGTTTTGTCAGTATCGGGTAATTTACGATGGTAATGTACTCGCGAAATCTGAAAAGCGTATTGAACCGTGAACATGAAAGTGGCTCTAGAAATAAAGACAATTAAAAAGAAATATGGCGGACGAAGACCAATCGCTTCCTTGTATGAGTCGCATTTATCTTAAAGTTAGAAATTGAAATAACATTATCTACGAGCAAGTGCATTCGAATGTTGATATCAAATAAATATTATATGTATTCCAGTATTAATTATGTAAAATAATATGCTTGAGAAATACATCATTGATTTCAGGTCTAGTTAAATCACATTAATGTTAGTCAGTATTAAACATTGTCTTTCTATTTGTTAAAGGGATGGTGCGAGTTGCTGTGGAGTGTTTTGTGCTGTATATAACGCTATAGGACAGCTACAACAGGACGATGAGGTGGACATATTTACTATAGTCCAGCAGCTACAGTGTAGAAGACCGGAAATGATATCAACAAAGGTACATGTACATCATGATGTATATATAAAAGCATTTTCACCGATTTAAAAAAAAATCTCTTATATAAGTAGGATTAGAATTAACACCCCGAAGTTCATAATCTACATTGTATGGAAAATGTATTATCGCTGGCCTTCAAAAATATCGGGATTTTAATTCATTAAATGGGCAAAGAGAACAAAGAATCGCTTTTGTTTGCATAAATTATTCAATTTTGCCTCACTTAAATTATATGATACTTAAATTATTTTATTAGATAAAGCAAAGCACTGAAAATTATATGATTTTTCTTTATATTTCAGGAAGAATATGAATTTTGTTTCAAAGCAGTTTCTGATTTTTTGAACACAGACAGTGTTTATGCCAATACTTAAAACAGATTGATCCTTGATGCCTTGATAAGTTAAAGATTTACACGAATTTATGTGACCAATAGTACTAGTCAAGAGGATATGTTTTATTATTTTTTTTTTACTTTTAAAATAAAGCTTTATATTTCTTTTTTTTTTTCATTTGCAACAAAAACTACACAGTTTTTCTAAGACATTTTGTTTTAGCATAAAAATATTGTTATTCTTATTTAATGCCGCTCTTGCATTTAGTAAAAAAAAATTTTATTTGTTTGATTGTTATTAATCTTGTTTTGTTTTAGCCTGCATTGTTTTTAATGTTCCTGGGAAATATCTTGTGAATATTAACTGTATAAGACGTTTTCTTGGCCCTAAATATTTTTAAGCTTATGATTATGCTAAATTTTTTTTAAACCTCAGTCTGTGATTTTATATTTGACTTGTTGTCTCATTAGAAGGATGACAAGGTGAAGATAATGAACAGTGATCGATCCCATAAAAATATATAATTCAATAAAGGATAACTGCACTTAACGCTGGGTTTTTGGTGTTTTTCCGTCGCTTCGGTTGCTTTTATATCTTAACCTTATTTCACTTTCGTAAATTTACTAAAGAATTCCGTCAATTTGGCACAAAATTTAAATAATAAATTAAAGTGTATTTTAGACTGTGATATAATAAAAAAAAATATTTTTAGTTCTGACTGCCTCCCAAATATAGAGAATATACACTTACCTGCCCTTGATCAAACATTCGGTATGCCTAAAAGGTGGAGCTAACATTGCACAGTTGTATGGATGACTCTAAATTGGACTAGACAAATAGCAATAGCAAGTAAAAAAAAATACGAGATTGTTCTTTCCCATCTCCCTCTTTATTCTGTATGGCACAAGTACATTTTTTACATAGGTTTCAAAACGAAATTAACAATTTTAGCACGGCCATGCAAGTAAAGAATATTTTGAATCGATGTCTGACAATTCCACATGTTCGAGCAGTGTCCTAGTGAGCACAAAACATACTATCTTGTAAGTCACGTGACGGAATTTAGTATTCACAGAGTAACCTGAGGTAAGAAATCATGTGGTGAATTATAATAAACGGAGAACAATAGACAAACATGCGCTTTGTATAAAGTCATTGAAAAAGTGGGCGTCCTCATGATCGTATGTAGATTTAAGAAATTGTGATGACCCCCATCTTTCGTAAATGCATACTTTTATTTAATTTTATTGCAGCCCGGGGGACCGGGCTGCTCTATACATATAAGTTTAAGTGTTGGTATATGGGGATTGAGGTGGGAGAAGTTATTCAGAATTAAAGGTTTTATAAACATTAAAAAGATTGTTAATCAGAATGTTCTTTCCCTTTATAAATTACGAGATACACAATATATTTACTTCCATAAAGTGAATCTGTAAAAATATATATGTTTTTCATATTTAATATATAAAGTTGTTTATCATTTACTATCGAAAAAACGACAGGTCCCTTATTTTTAGAACATCGAATTTTACTTATCGCATAAAAACGTAAAAAAGTACTTTACACAGTTCGTGTTTTATATTCTTTAAGTGAAAGACATTTTTGAAAATAGGTGATGCATGTGTCTGGTTTCAAATTATATTTTATGCAGCCAACATTTACTTGAGGAATTGATAAAGTTTAAAAGGGTATCGTTTTTGTTCGATTTTCATCCGACTATAAGTTTTCAAAATATTCTCGACTATCGTCTCCATCATTTAGACGCATGCCTTTTTCACACATATCGAAGCGGTTTGATGATCAAGACTCATTTCCATTGTTTACTTTATTTATTTCCCGGGCGACAATTGATGGTTACATCAATGTTTTCTTGTTACGTAAAGTTGTAGATTAGATGTTGACCATTCATGCAATTAAAAGAAAAAAAAATGCTTGCTTTGAAAATTTATTTTGTCGCAATTTTCGCATGTCCTTAAGTGCAGTCATCCTTTGTGAGTAGGGCATAAAACACGAACCCTTGAAAATTCCAGAGGTGGGATCAGGTACCTAGGAGGAAAAAGCATCCCCTGTTGACCGGTCACACCCGCCCAGAGCCTTATGTATAGATCAGGTAGACGGATCATTATGTAGTCAAATTTAGTATGAAAACAAAGGTCTAACAATTGGTATGAAACAGATCAACCAACATACGAGCCAATGGTAGGTTATATTTTCTAACACGGTCATAATAACGACCATAGAATTTACGAAAGGCTGACTTTAAACCAGGTTGTTGAAATCAACGGTATAAAATTTGAACTACATTGAAATTGATATGTGAAAACGAGTTCTGTTCAATTCAAAGATTTGGAATTAAATATGGTCTAAATATTACCCTTCATCCTAGACTGGTTCTTTGGGAAGTCGCCACCTGACTTTTCGATAATAGCTATTTTTTTTTTTGGGGGGGGGGGGGGATAAGGGTCAAATATTTCCCCTTAATAGACAATAAAAAATGTTTTACTGTGGACAATTCCAAAGAAAATGTATATATTTCTGTATTTGATTCAAATGTCTCATTCATTTTGCAATTGCAATATACATGTAAAAGATCAATTAAGCAAAACGCGGATATATTATCTGCCCTTTAGGGAATACAGGGTATATTGATATACGGATTTTTTTTAGAATTAAAAGCAAATAATACCGTTGTATGACACAAAGTTTTAATTTTAAATGATGATGTAGTACTGAGTATTATTTTTAAAATAATGTTTTAATGTAAACGATTTCAAACAAAATATTGCATTACCTTGTATTTAGACTATGAATGCTTAGAAAACAGAGTCATGACATGTATTGTGTTATTCTGCTTGTCAAATAATCTTGTAGAAAGTGTTTCATTTTCTTGATGTCTGTTTATTTGTGTTTTCTTTATTTATTAAATTATTTCTGATTCTCTTGAGTTCTGTTTTGTTTTATATCTGCAGTCCCCATATGCTAAATTAACTTCAGACAATAGGTATGGATAATATGCTGTCGGCCTTGAGTAGTGGAATATAATTGTGTAATAATATATCCTTTTTCTGGCTCTTGAAACATAGAGTATTTTCCCCTCCTCTTTTGATAATTTCTCGACATCCTTAAACCTAAAAATTCACATATTAAGAAAAGCAGACCTACTTATCCTTCCGCTTTTGACGTAATTCTTCTGCTTTTTACCACGAAATTACGCTGTTACGCCATGAAATTTAATTTTACGCTTTTAAATATTTTTCCTAAAAAACTTCCTTATGAACGGCTAACTTCGGAGTTAAAGTAAAGGCGTTCCTAAATTAAAACGAGAAGGTGAGAAGGTACATTGTAAATAATACTCTTTAATAGAGGATTTCGTTTCTCTGCGATATGATTATTTACGATACAAACAACATACGTAGTATACCTTGTAGTTATAATATACCTTTTAAACGGGTTGCATGCCAAAGATAGAAAACTATTGAAAGATATGTGCAATAAGTAAAGTCAGTTCAATTTTCAATTCAGTTTATCCTTACATTGCTTAGAACAACATAGAGACAAGTAAATGTATAGAAAACAAAAACGACATAGCGCAATAATGTAGAATTTGTATTAACATGGAAATGTAACTCTGAATTATGTTATTTGCTTGAAATTAACCAAACATTTATTAAGTATGTAAGTTTAAATAAGTTTGATATGACTTCATTTAGGATACCAGTTTTACAACACGGGGACTTTTTGTCAATAAATGATTTGACAAAAAGAAACATTCACGCTTTCTTTGTTCAAAGATGTACAATTACCGGTTTATTTAGACAATATAGTATCATTGCAAAACATCAAATTAGGAAAAAATAAAGGATTACGCCTTTACCTCTGAAATTCCACCAAAATGAGTATTGAAATTACACCCTCAAAATAAAAAGGGTAGGCAGGTCTGAAAAAGTCACAAAGTTAAAAATTAAGGATGTACAACACACCTACCCCCCAAAAATTTCCTGTCTCTTTATTTATTTTTTTTTTTTTCGATTTTTTTTTTTTTTTGGCATGAATATACTACGTGTATGCACATTCGTCATACTTGGACAGGAAGTTCTAAAAGTTACTCCCCTTTTGCTGTTCACGAGGAGATTAATTTTTCAACCATCTAACTATAAAATCAAAGTTGAAAAATGTCTTTTGTTTAAAAAATGTTATATAATTATATTATATTATATGAGGTCTCGAATTCAGAGCGCATTTATACATTGTATGCAGATGTATAGGCAATCCCCCCACCACCAACTTTTTTTTTTTTTTTTTTTTTTTTTTGCGACACAGGCCATTTGATGTCGATGAAACATCGGTTAAACTGCAGAATTATTTAGTTCACTGAATCCCTGAATTACTTATTTGTTAATTCATGCATACAGATTAAGTATTGACTACTAGTATGTTTTGTATTTAGTAAAAATTGTGAAATGTAATATATTAAATTTATATAGTTTCTGAATCATTTCAGAGACGTAAAAGATAATCTATTTTACGTTTATTTTTTTATTATTTTAAACAAGAAAGCACTTAGAAAGTCTGTGGGGGTATCCCACTCGAGTCTCCCTAATATTGTATTCAACATTCCTTTGCTTCTAAAGATAAAATTGAAATTTCGTATTCGTCCATATTACTTCAATGTTACAAACTGTAAATTCTTCTTCTATTTCAAAATTATTCATGTGTACAGTGATAAAAAAAAAAAGTTTTGTTTTGATTCGAGGAAGTGCGAACAGACAATGTTTGCAATCGCAGAGGGTCGGGCAGTTTGTCGCAATGAGACATAACTTCAGTGAACAATTTCTCTCACTCTCAGTCGAAATTTCTATACTTTTTATATATATTATAGTTATCAGTTCTTCAGATCACCTGATCTCACTGAAAATGTATCGGTGTATTCGGGAAAAAAAATTATAATTGGGTGGAAAACATGAAGAATAATTCAACTAAACATTTTTAGAGTTATTCCTCTTTGATCACTGAGCTTCTGAAATTACATTGTTAAGTGTGTTTGGTTAGTTGATTTTTTTTTAATATATAAAAAAGAACAAAACTAAATGTACTTGGTGATGCTAAAA